TTGGCTTTTAATGAGCCCTGGATTTAACCTGTGGTCGGCCCCATTAGATAAACATTTGTCAGGGAGACAGGGAGGCGAGGGCTCCCCGGCATGCATGCAGACTCAGGTTACCGGCCTTCACCCACAGGCTAATGATATTACTCTTAAAAAAGCCCACCCCCTATCACCGGTTGTGGCCTTGTTCCATGCTCCTGCTTGGGTTGAATAATTCTTTGCCACACGAATGGTGATTGCCACGGTATTACCCCTAAACGAGAGTGAGGGCATTTCAAAGTTCCTTCGAAACCAACAAGACATACGGGCCCTTTGATTCTGCGTGCTAAACAAATACTTAACAATAACAACAACAAAAATGCTTTCGATATGCATAATTCATTACTTTGGTTGAACTGAACAACCATTAATTTATTCAATCGAAGAGTGGGGGGAAAAAAATAATCGTTAGCATTTCAATGGCTTCTGTAATGGCTTCTGTAATGTGTAAACACGCTTAAATTATGTAATACCAGAATATTTCTGAGGCTGAATAGCAATCTATGAGTAACAGCCTCAACGACACCAGTACCCCATGTGACCTTTGACCTCTGACCTTGGGTCCAGCAGAACGCAAGCTACTCACATACCTGTTTCACAGAAGCTTCGATATAATGATCCTTCCTTTCCTGACTCTGTTACTCAATATCTTCATTTTATCTCCATCAAGATTACATTTTAAAACAGACCACAGGTAATATCCCCAAGCATCATATCCTCAAACTTTAAGGTGAGGTGAAGCTTTGTAATGAGGTTTTATTCTGGATTCTGGACTCTCCTTTGAGAGTGAGGCCCAATCTATAAAAGGCAGCTTGATAAAATCAAAATCCCAGGATGGAGAGCAGGCCATGCAAACTGTGGCTGGCGGCGTAGGGATACGTGTTACTGACTAACATGGGGCCGAAGACCGCCTCTGCACAGGAAGGCCACTGCCGCAACTCACCCTGCTACCCCAGACTCACGTGAGCTGAACTAGGCCCTGCCGCTATATGAAGCAACAGCCGCTGAGAAGGTGATTAACTGAGGATACCGAGTCCCTGAGATCAGGACAACAGAAAGCGGCGACGGAAGGAGACTTCAGACATCAAAAGGGGCCTGCGTAGCGCCAGTGAGAATCGTGCCGCTGTGGGGACGGAGCGGAATGCGACTCACGCCCGGCGCTAACAGCACTAACGTCTGCTGACACCAGCACCGGCTTTAAACGCAGCTCCATCAAATCCGGCTCGACAACAAGCGCAAGGCAGCGGCGGCAGACACCGGCGCAGGAATAATGAGCGAGGCGAAGGGGAAGCCGTCTCCTCCGCAGATTTTTATCTGCATTTTATGAAGTGCAAAGGAGGGGGACGGGGGGGATGCATAAAGAATACTGTCACTCCAAGTCAGTCCGCACATGCGGAATTAAATTTGTTAGTTTTGTGGTCATTCGAGTAATTAAATTCCTGTGACAAATGTGAGAGGAAAAGGGCCACCCCCGCTAATGCAGTTATGGCGGCGCCGAGGGGACCAGCTCCGAGACCGGACCCTCGATTTGAATTGTAGATACAGACGGCTCAGGTGACCCCGTTTGTGTTCCTTTGCCTTGCTTTCGCACAAACTGATGAGGATATAATGGCTTCCTGTTGGAGCTTGTCACTTGCAAGAAGCAGAGATATTAATTTTCACAGAGGATGGGGACTCAAAGACAGAGGGATGAAACTTGCTGTGTGTTACGAAGGCGCACCCCAGATTTTAGGTGTCACCTTTTTAAGGTGACATTTTGTTTGAAAGGAAAAAGCTGACACGACGTGACCAAGGATCACTAAGAGTGAGCAAAGACAACTGAGCATAACCAAAGATCATCAATGGTAAAAGACTGCAGAATATGACCAAAATTTATCAAATAGCCCTAAGACCCCCAAACACCACTAAAGATCGTTAATGGAACCAAAGACCACCGAACACGACTAAATATCAATTAACTGACTAAAGACCACCAAACACAGCCAAAGATTGTCAACTGGTCCAAAGACCACCTAACACGACCAAAGGTTGTCGACCAGGCCGAAGACCATGAAACGTGACCAAAGATCATTGAATGGGGCAAAGATCATCGAAAGTGAACAAAGATTTCCAATGGGCCAAAGATCACTGATAGTGACTAAAGATCTCCAAGTCAACTGAAGATTATTTAATGCAACCAAACACTTCTGATTGAGCCAAAGATCATTTAACATGCACAAAGAATGTGGAAAGGGCCAAAGATCACTGAATGCGTCTAAAGAACTCCGTTTGGCCCAAAGATCATCAAAAGAGCAAAGGACCACTAAATATGATCATTGATTGTGACCAAATTTTAGTGAATCCTCCTCTAAATTTCGGTTAATGCTGCCGGTTTGTGCGTGGATGTATCATAAGCGCCATGGGAGTGACAGGGGCGACCCGGGAGACGGGATAAAAGCCTCGCACACGTCACTGAAGTCTAGCCCTATATTCAGGCAGGTTCTCCATACCCCCTCCTTGGTGATGGAGGCTGAGGAACCTGAAAACTAGAAACCGAGGGCTCTAAAAGCTGTACATTTTTTTTGTTTTGCGTGCTTAGACAGAAGTGTTGCACCGTGATGTCGTCAGCCGCGGCTGTCCAAGCGTGTGACATTCGTGCTTTTCCCGATGACGCCAAGGGTTCAAGCCCATGTCGTTGGGACGGCGGTCACGGGGCTCCCAATGGAACCGGAGACCTGACTTGATCGAGAGATCTGGATCAAACAGATAGATTAGCGCCACACCCTTTTGTTTACACTGTGCTCCCCAGGGTGGTCACGGACGGCCCAACCAGACATGTGCGTGGACCCCAGTGCTTCCATCACATCATACCTCATTGGCGCCCATCGCCTAGCTAATCCTAATCTTGTATTCTGTTTTCCAATTATTGTAAAGCGGCATGTCTAAATGAGGGGTGTAGCTAATAAAATTAACTTCCTAACTTAGAGCAATTCTCAGTGGCACAATGATCAGATACAGGCTCCCTTGGTCTGAAATTTATGTTAATTTTATGCATCTATCATTAGTTATTACCATTGCAGCTACATAAAACACAGCTTTCTTTAACAATTAGACCTTAAAATGTCGAATATTAAATCAGCCATGGGACACGCACATGAACATTTAAGCTGTGTAATTGAAAACCTTGAACTTCTGACACTCGCCGTGACTGAGGCTTGATGGTACCGTCTCCCTTTGTATGCATCTTGACACCATTTCCGAAAGTGCGTAAACAAGAGGAGAAGCCCGAGAAGACTTTAATTAGCTGTGCTCCTTTCCAGCTAGTTGCCATTTGAAAAAGTCATACTGTAAATACGGGAAATATGTGTTGGTCCTGACCGGGTAACTAAGATGTCACTAGATAAATTGCTGCTACTGAGGTTGGTGCTGAGCTGCCCTGTTTTGACGTTCTCTCAGCGGAGACGCATATTAGCGACAAAGCCACCTGCAACCCGGCTGATATGCGACATAATGGCAGGTCAGATCTTTAATTGCTGCCAGGGCAACAGGAACGCGGCGACAAATATCTGCTCCCCCAGCACCATCAGTCAGCCCCTCTCAGAAGACCAGCCCCCCCTCGGTCAAAGTAATGGCTATTTGATGATCCTCATAGAAGTAATCAATACGTCGACCGAGCCTCTTTTAGGATTACCGTAATTTGTAAGCCGATCAATTTGGTCGATTCGGAGAATGCAGCCACTGAGAGCGGAAATTCCCTTTTTCCTTTAGCTTTCAGACGATATCTAATGAAGTATGTGGAAAAACTAATGCTATTAAAAAAGTGCCACTATAATCTAAATTACAAGCTAAACCACGCAGAAAGACTTCAACACGGCGAGGGCACGCCTGGTTCATGTAAGCACTCTGGCGTTTGAGGACTGCGGAAACTAAGGAGGTCTAGTGATCAGACGGCTTCTGACCCGTCATACATAAATAACTTAACACGGCCTGTGACACACGGCGATGGTACTCACCAGGAAACGCATGAAGGCAGAATCAGCCAGTGCTGGGGAAGGGGGGGGGGGGTCAGCGTCGCCCGTGAGACCGCGGCGGTGTGCGGTATGGAAGTCATCGTGGCGGGACAGGCAAGCAGGCGCCGCTAAACTGTACAGCGGTACCCATAACTCTTTGTTCGTTCGGACGCTCTTCATGGAAACCCACACGTGAAATCGACGATAGTGGTTGGGGTGGGGGGGGGAACCCCGGGCGGCAAGACGGCGTGGGCAGTTACGGTTTCTGCTTACCGGACGAGGGTGCGGTGACACGCCGTGCTGATAGGTGGGAGCACACGGGGGCGAGGAGGCACGATCTCTCACTGCGGATCCGGAGCGGCGTCCAGAAGGTTCTGTTTTCCTGCTGTGCTGTCAGAGGGAGCATGCACACACACACACACACACACACACACACACACACAAAGGGTCGAGGGAGCGCGGCAGAAGAAAGAGACACTACGGGCCGCTCAGAGCCGGGAGCGCCGGCACAGGTGAGGCGCTGGCCGGCTGCAGTGGCGACGGAACGAGACCCGGTGCCTGGTGCTGCGCTCCAAAGGAGGATGCGATGAGACTGAATGGCTAATGAGGTCCCCGGCTCCACAGGGTCAGCCTCTCTTATTCATGTTCATAATTAATTCAGCAACGTTGATAATTTCATTAGATTCCGCGTTTTTCCAAGCCTTATCAATAAGTAATGGCGGTGGACCAGGACGTGGGTACACAGAGACACACACACACACACACACAAACACACACACACACACCCTGGAGCTTCCCTGCAAACCAAGCGGGACCCAGCATATGGCAGACAGGGACGGCTCAGGTAAGAGTGCTGCCACCTTTGGCAGCTAAAATTCCCAAATATTTCCAGGATTCCTCTCTTGGCAGACAGGCCAGAGCACTGGGAAGCCTGCCGCTACCCCCCCCCCCCCCACCCCACACCAGACACACAAAGCCAGGAAGTGGGCTCACTGGGACCGGGCAGGAGCGGCGATGGCATCAGGGGGACCCATTTGTTTACTTACTTTGAATTAACAGCGCCCCGCTGGGCTGGTGTCCTCGGTGGGAAGCCTCGCAGCCCCGTTCACACCGCTGGGCCCGGCCCACACGGGCGGCTTCTCGTCCAACCGCACAATGCTATTAATTAAGAGATTCCAGGAATAATAATTCACCAGTGAGGAAAGAGAGAGGAATCAAATGAGAAGCCCCCTTGCAATAACTACTGAAATATTCATTAATAATAAAAAAAAAATTGCTTGAATTTAATGACAAGAATTACATGTGTAGAGACCATCTCGCCTACTTCTCTGGGCCAGCCCTCACTACATGAGCACACAAACCCCTTTTGATTATTTGATCAAGAGATCAAATGCAGTTACGCATTTCACAGCCTTGCATAGCAGGAAGCCCTTCCCACCCCCCCGACACATACAGAGCAGTCTTACCTTAGCATTTAGCTGCACATAAATGGGGCCACACCTGCTCGCTTTCTTGCCCATCCGCTGATAGCTAACCGGCACTGACGCCCTCCAACGTCACCTTTCGGCGGCTGGCTCCTTTTTCCTCATCCCTGCGACATCGGCATTCTACGAGGCGGCTGATGACGAAAAGCCTGAGAGAGGCCTAATCTTATCAGGTTATGTATGCTTATCGCATACATAATCCAAGGCATGAACAATATCTGTGTCCGCCCTTCAAAACAACATGCCTCAGCATAATGAAAAAATAATTACAATAACAAACAGAACGACACATAACGGCGCGCTCGTCCCCACGTCGACTGATGATTAATTAAGGCCTGTGCTGTGCTTCATAGTATCATAATAAAAATGTGAAAGGAGCAAATCAGAAGCCATATTCTCCTGGCAAACGACACATTTAATGCCTTTTAATGGTCGGTCGAATGCCTTTTGTGTTCAGTTAAAGAGAGAGAACGCAACGCATTACGGCTGCAAGACGGGCTCGAACGGGAGAACGGGAAGCTGTCGCCAAGGCAACAGAGTAGCGGCGGCCTGGAGGCGAGGAGCTCCACCCTGTGCCCTCAGGGAGCACCTGCGGTCTCTGTGCCACGCCGGCAGAATGCTGGGGGCCCAACCAATCAGACCCAGCGCTGCATCAACCTCGAACCCAAGCGAAACCCAGCCAGAACACCTTAAGATTTACCCTGGGTATCCTTACTGCATTTTCAACCACACTCTCCCGCCAAATTGGCCCAAAACACAATAAAATAGTAAAATTGCCAGAGGCAGCAGACATTCCATAGGCTTACTATAGTCATAGAAAAATTCATGTTTGCTTTGTAACATTCAGAGACAAAAAGGAGATATTTTTACTTGGCTCCCCACACTATCTTTCAAATACCTGACAGCACCGCCACAGAAAGCAGGAGAGAACGGTTCTCCGCCCTTGATATAATTCTTCAGTTTGAGCATCTGCTGGTTCCCCACCCTAAGGGCCACCACTTGGTGCTCTTGAAGAAGCCCTGTGTGTGTCCTACAGCGTTTGATCCTTGGAGGAGCGGGGAGGCAGGCCTTCTTGGGAGCAACCCGTCAGAAGTGTGCCGATGCAAATCCAGCCAGCCGGCAGTCAGAGCAGGTGACAAGCCCTCTTCTGGTGGCTGAGCAGAGCGGAGCACTCAGGAGCCCCTGGGAGGTCGTCCTGGAGGACCCGGCTTCTCCACGTCCGGCCTCAGAGCTCCTGGCTTCCGGAAGCTACATGTCTCCCCGGCTCCACGACGGCGAGTTCCCCGGCAACTGACGTGCTGTACACGACAGGAAATAAATTAAACAAAAAAAAAATGCATGCATGCCATTTTCGTGTCACTTGGGAGAGTGCGAGATCAAACACACATACACGCTGCAGATGAAAGCTCTGGCAGATAAATAAAGACAAAAAGAGAAAGACTTCCCTCTCCTGGGTCTGACTCAGCCCAGTCGGAGTAGGCAGGAGGTCATACTGACAGGTCTCTCATAAGTATAGTGACCCAGAGGAGGGAGACCTTACAAACTCCTTTAACGAGCCTCACACAAATGCCAGAGATGCTCAACCTAGGACAGGCCTCGCAGAAAGAACTTTATACCTATGTAATCCATGAACACAAGCTACTTAGACAAACCCCGTACAAGTGCGAAGGGCACAACGGCTGAGGAATCGCAAGCAGGAATGGGAAATAAATTCGCTCTCACATTGCGCCAGACACTTTACGAGCCAGATCCAGCCGGGGACAGTAAACGGATTATCAGGGCAGTTCACCAATGTGTGCAGAGGGATGTAAAATGAGATCGGAGAACTACGGGATGTCTAAGACCGGGCCGTAGAGGCCACAGGAATTGTCGACAACATTTAATTTTAAGGAATCTTCTTTTGCTTAACCTTGCATGATCGTTCGTCTCAATACTGCCAGGGCGGAAAAACAAATCTGGATTCCGTGTAATGGGTGCAAAATTGAATCAGGTGTCTGGTCCTCTTAAGGAAATTAAGTGGTTTTGCGAGAGGGGGGTCTTTAATGAGAGGCAGGTTGGCCGACAGTGACGGATGGGGTGGACAATAGCTACAGCAGGACAATATCTGTGCCGGGTCTCGCTGCTGACTTTTCACCCCCCCCCCTCCCCCGGCCCCCTCCGTGATGAGGTAAAGGGGTGCATTCATCTCCAGCATGGTTATTGCTAAACATTTATTTGAACATATATTGCATGGACGATGGCAGCTCATAAGGCGGATCTTTCATGCAAGCTGTATTTTTACATACCGCCCCTGATTATGGTCATTACCGCACGCTGATTTATCGTCCTGCTGTTGCCCGTCCTGTGCATGCGACACCCCCCCCCCCCCCCCCCCCCCCCCCCCCCCCCCCCCCCCCCCAGGCGCACGCTACCACCACCTAGCAGCGAGAGGTATTTATGGCGGCCCCGTTTCCGGTAAATCGGTTTCATTTAATAATGCTGGGCTGGAGGGAGGAAGGGACAATTCTTACGGGTGGTGTGACGCATGTCGGACACGGGACAGTGAAAGATGCCCGGCGTTCCAGAATGACCCCGAGTCTCTACGTGACTCGGCTTAACTGGAGGAACAGGCGAACACGAGTCCAGACTCCATTCATAATGTGACCAGAGTCATGACCACTGATATTTTTACATTTTTTGTCTATAATGGAACTGTTATTGCCCCCAAATACCTATAAATTTACACCCATCCCCCCATGTACAAGACAACATTATTTCAGTAACATCAAACATACACGTCATACAAAAAACGCATACCTCACCATTTATGTCTTTGCACAATGTTGTTTGCAATGTCTGGTTCCATACACTTTGTCTTGTGCTTTTGCACGTCTGTATCTGTGCACTTTAAGTTTCTGCTGCTGTATGCAAACACGCTTCTCCTTGGGATCAATAAAGTATATCTTATCAAACACACACAAGCACTACCATACTATCATATATTCTAATTGGTTCATTTCGATAGAGGCAGGCGTGAAGATATGCAGCGTTAGTGGTCTGTGTGTATATATTTAGATATATACATAACATACATATATACATATATACTTAACATATAGAAGACATCATCAGCAGTTGGTCACATGCCAGGTTTTGAAGGCCCATGTGACTATGTCCGAGGCAGCTAAAATGAACTCTGACCCTTAGTGTGGCAGATACCAGCCGGCATGCCTTGCTGCCCCACCCCAGGCATCAGTGCAGCCTTGCGATAAATATGAAGGGAGGGGCACTCTGAGCTTTATAAACGTTGACCCCTGTGCCCCTCCCGTTCTCCGCCAGCACGCCCTAATTTGTTTCCTGACAGACGGCGGCGTTCGGGAGCCTTGACGGGGGCATTAGTGACGGGGCCTGCCTTTCGAGCGGAGTGCAGGAGCTGGAGGGGTCCACACGGCCGTCGTTCCCAGGGGTCTGACCCCTGTCACCATGATTCAGTGCTCGCTGAAGCAGGCTGGAAAACGCTGATGCTACTTAAGCAGCACACAGGAGCTTTCCATTTACCGTATTCCGGTGCGGCGCGAGACGCCCGCGAGCTACCACCCGCGTAACGCGCCGCTCCGAAAGGGGCCAATAAAACCAGCCATGGCAGCAAGCCGCACATCACGGTATCTGTGGCGATGGCTATTGAGAGTGAAGGGCGGCGAAGAGCCGGGCCATGGCACCGAGGCCGTGCGGCGGAGGCCTGCCCAAGGAAGCCGCCGAGGCGGGAGCGACCCGTGCCGTGTCGACTCCAGCTCCGTATGAATTATTGACCCAGCCGGCCGGAGCCGGCTCATTACTGAGGAAGTGTCAGGCGGGCGCTGCTCCAGCTGCTGCCTGGTCAGGCAGCTGCGCTCCATCTTTAATGGCCTGAGCTATGTGGGCCCGCCCGCCTGGACGCCATGGAACCACGTCTTGCAGGGGAGGCCCCAGCTCAGGCGCCGAACTCCAGCTGTAAAAACCAGCCTCACCCGTATTGGGGATTGGGAAGATGGCTGCTTATGGAGGCTTTTCTAGAGTTTATTGAAATAACAGAACAGCGAACACTCCGCAGTCAGTCCGCCCAGCTGTGGACACCCTCCCAGAATCTCGCGCTGAATGGACAGAGGGGTGCGAGCCACTCCGCCCGGCAGCCTCTGTTCCACATGACCTGCCGGGTCCTGCTCAGAGGCGGGGCAGCGTGGTCTCTTTACTGATCCATTAGGCAGTCAATGGACCTCATCGGGGGGGGGGGTGGGTCTGCTAAACACAGATGTCAAACATAATGATTCCTCCATTTCCGATATCAGTCCCATAACTTAGGCACCCGCCACCCCAGGGGAATTTTACCCGTATCAGGGGAGCGTGCACATCAGAGCAGTGGTGTGGATTTGGGCTTGGGGAGGGCCACAAGAGGGGCAGGCATGGGGACCCAAACGGCAGCCTGAAGAGACCGGCAGATCCAGCAGCAGCCTCACCGGGAGCTCTTTCTACCGGTGCCATCCTTCAATCCGACTGGGACGGCAGCGCCAAGCTGTCAGGACGTTTCAGCACTGGGCGGGGTGGGGAGAAAGACAGTATTGTTTCAACTGGGAGTAAATGACTTGAAATACACCCAGGTGAGTGTGAGGAGCACGTGATGTTTTCATGCCAGCTTCCTGACAGTGTCATGTTTCAGGACCCAATATTTTAAGATTAAGTTTAAAGTGTGTTTGAGTTCATAAAGAGCTTCGCTACACAAACCTCAAGGCCTCAAACAAAACAGGAGAAAAACACTTACATTTGTTTATTCAGGAGACCCTTATCTCTAAAGCAAGCTACAAGTACAATTCCCATTTCTCAGGTTGGTAATATCACAGTGATTTAGCCTCGCCTATATGGTGATGTCATTGATGCTATGCCCCACCTATATGGTTATGTTATTTAAATGGCACCCCACCTATATGGTAATGTCATTGATGCTGTGGCCTGTCGATATGGTTATGTCATTTACATTATGCCCCGCCTATATGGTAATGTCATTGATGCTGTGGCCTGTCGATATGGTAATGTCATTTACATTACGCCCCGCCTATATGTTAATGTCATTGAGGCTGCTCCCTACTTATATAGTGATGTCATTTGCATTGCTCCCCGTCTATACAGTGGTGATGTCATTCATGCTGTGCCCTGTCTATATGGTGATATCATATACATTGCTCCCTGTCTAAACAGTGGTGATGTCATTCACGCTGTGCCCCCCTATACGGTGATGATGTCATTCGCGCTGCACTCTGCCTATACAGTGGAGATGTCACTCACGCTGCTCCCTGTCTATATGGCGATGTCGTTCACGTAGTACCCTGCCTGCATGGTGATGTCATTCATACAGCACCCTGCTTATGTGGTAATGTCATTTTCACAGTGCCTTGCCTATATGGTGATGTCATTCATGTAGCACTCACCCTACATGGTGATGTCATTCATACAGCACCCTGCTTATGTGGTAATGTCATTTTCACAGTGCCTTGCCTATATGGTGATGTCATTCATGTAGCACTCACCCTACATGGTGATGTCATTCATACAGCACCCTGCTTATGTGGTAATGTCATTTTCACAGTGCCTTGCCTATATGGTGATGTCATTCATGTAGCACTCACCCTACATGGTGATGTTACTCACTCAGTGTCCTACTAATATCTTTGAGAGATGAGACATGCTCAAGGGATGATGGCAAATTCAGCAGAACAAAGAAAAAACAAAGACTGTGCCTTTGTGGACCTCAGTTTAGCTATTAGCATTAGCCAGGAAAGGGCACAATTTAATCGGTTCAAAGTCAAAGAATTCTGTTTTCATTCTTGGTCATGGGAAAGAAATGGCAACTATAAAGTGATAAAAGCATCAGTGCGTGATCCACAGTTGCAGGTAAAAACGAGGAGAAGTCAATTACAAACCGCACAGGTCCCTCCGGCTCCGCCTCATTCAGATCTGCTGCTCCGAGCAAAACAACTTGCTTGAGCTGCAGTCCCTGTCTTTGTATTGACGTTTAGTCTCAGCAAAGCATTTACCCAGCAATTACCCACTCCTTCTCTTCATCTCGTTAACGGGAGGGCCCAAATCTAATGACACGAGCAGTGTGGCGCTTCACCGCCAAGACGACAAGAGACGACGGAGCGAGCGGGCCTTGTGTACATCAGCCAGAGAGAGAGAGAGAGAGAGGGAGAGAGAAAGAGACGGAGAGAAAAACACAAACACTCCACGAGCTTATAATGGTAATGGAAACTGTAATCAGTGGATATTCGCCAGCAAAGAGACAGGGGGA